TTGCTCGGACCTGGAAGACTCTCATTTGTTGTTTGTTCCTCTTACAAAGCCAGTTTTGGAACCTCTTCTTCCCAGCAAAGGAGATAGATATCCTTATGCAAATGCAGTTTATAGCTTTCCATTAATCATCCAGAAAGGGCTGTCAAACAAATGAGGGAAGGCTGGGCAGTTTAAATCTCCAAGTTAGGCAATTTAAGTCTCCAAGTTGCTGACTCTGAAATTTTAAAGTGAAAGTTTAATAATTTGAGTTAACCTTTAGTGGAACAAACAGTAACTCATTCTTGTCCTTGCTATGTGCAGAGTCAGTGCTCAGTACAGAATGTGATGTAAAACAAAATGCCTCATTTTCTGTGTCTATTACTTGCCCCCAACCTGTGCGTTGTTTTTTCTCGGAGCTTCCATGCCGTATTACAGAGGCAACACATAAGGACGGCACTACCTTCTGGGCACATAATTTCTGTCTAAAAACATCTTAGTCCTCTCAGACAGAGGAATGTGTTTTCTCTTTGCGTTAGGCATCCCTTACACACCCTGTCGCTGACATTTTCCAAGAAGCTGTTCATGAGAATTACACCAGCTAACATCAAAACCCTTCAGGGAACTGCAGTCAGCTTGGGCTGAGCTCTACATCTGACGGGGGGAGAGCAGTTTTCGGACAGCATGGGGTACTAATCCTGCCAGCATCAGGCCCTTGTATTGATTTTTTTCTTTTTGTTAGACTTGAAGGCTCAGTCAGTCTCAGGGATTATAGAGTATCAACTGGCTACCACTCAAATTGGACAAAGAGGGCTGTGCATTAGGATAGCTTGAAGAACCATGTGCAGAAAGGACATTTAATGACCTGAGTCGCTTTGGGGGGGTTAGGTGTGAGTGTCCTCCTGTTATTTGCAAGCAGACTTTCCCCTCAGTGTTAATTACTCAGACTGCTTTGCCAAATGAATACATCCTGCTGATCTGCTGGAGTCTCACATTGGACCCCGACAGCCATTCCCAGGAATGGCTTCCAGTCCTCTGTTGGTAATTGGCCTTGGGCAGATGGTGGATTAGGAGGTTAGTTAGTCTGCTGGGCTACATGATGTTATTTCTGACTGGCTGGTCCTTGAGATAACAAAGGTATTTTCAAGACATAGATGCAGTGCTGACAGAACTGCCCTGGTAAATACTGATTTTTTTCCCAGGACAAAAGCTCTTGCTGATAAAATTACCTGTCTCCAAAGTTTGAAAACAAAAAAAAAAGAGGGGGATGAACATGAGCAGGGTCTTTGGGAGGCAAGAGGAGGAGGACTTACTCCCTAGACAGGGAAAACAGAGTGTAGCTGGAAGGAAAAACACAGCAAGATCAAGAGACTGTAGAAGACCTGGAAGGGGCCCTGCAGCCTGGAAGACTCCACGTAGGGTGCCTTTCATGCTAAGGTATCTCTCCCTTCTCAGAGGAGGCAAACACCACTGGTGACACAGCTGTGCTTGTAGCTCTGTGTGTGAGCATCTAGTTTGTCCCCAGAAGATCTCAGGAGCAGTGCAGAAGATGACTCACCAAGGCTTCTTGGCCTTCCCATGGCAGGAGGTGATTCACAAGGGTGCACTGACCATCTGGAGTTCCACATCAAGACAGATCCTGGCAGTGGCTCACAGGCAGTTTAGAGGACTTTTTAGTGTATTTAAGAGTCTATTTCCAGCCAAGGGTGGCTCACCACCTCTCTGTTTTGAGAGATGAGGGCTTGTTCTGAGTGCTGCTGCTTCCAGCTTCCCTTCAAGGGCAGGCGAGGCTGAGGACAGGTAATGCTGATAAGGCAGTGCCAAGTTCTCTTCCTTCCACACCACTGGTGTTCCCATTTTTGGTGCTTCTCAAGCACCTCTTGACACCATTGTTACAGATGTGGGATCACAAGGCTGGAAAGATGTTCAACATTTTTGGCCAAATCCCAAGGATAGCTTTCATCTTTTTCAGCCCACTGGCTACCTTCACCTCTCATGAGCACTCTCTCAAACTTGGCTGCTTATCAGCTTGCCACAACTCCATCTTCTCCTGGTTGTTCTCCTTCACTGATAGCTCCTCCAGCATTCCAGTGACATTGAAGTAAGGCATGAACTCCCTGTAGGTAAGGGAACTCTTCTGACAGAATTATTATTTGTGAAGAAAGAAACAAGTTGTATCACGAAGGGAAGAGCAACTACAGTCAGGTTCTTGTGCCCATGCCTCCCCCAGACTACCGAACATCTTATTGGGCCCTGACCCACCTTCAGTCCTTCCTGCCCCCACTGTTGCCTCATGCAGTCAAGAGGCAGCATGTGCTGTGGCCAGCTGTAGGGGACTGGCACATGGGCCCAGAAAATCTAGCAACACTTTGTGCCTGCTGTCGCCTTCTCCTCAGTGAGGACAGCTGATGTGTCCCTTCCCCAGGTGCTCACCAGCCTTCATAGACCATGTGGGACCAGATCTTACTGTCACATGTGGTTGGATTTTGCTAATAGATTCTAAAGTGGTAAGAGCTGGGCAGACCGTGTGGTCACAGATCCTTGATTTCTTTGGGAAATGCTCTGAATATCTCTTGTTTTTTACTGCATAAACATATGGAGAGGGGTAGGCTCCAGCATGAGAGCTGCTCAGTAATTAATGTGTTGTTGCCCTGGTGAGTGGGACTTGCTCTGGTCCCACCAGGACTACCTGTGGCTGAGATACAGACCTGTTTTTCCAAAATGGAAGCAACCTGATCGTTTACTGCGTGGTGAGGTGTGCTGCGGCTATGACCCAGAGTTAACTGGTGCTGAAAGGGGACACCTCGTTTGCGCACTGCACTAAATGCAGCCGTAAATCAGGTGTCACTGAGGGCAGCAGGGTATTTCTTAATGTGGATTTCCCACCAGGCCACTGTGGCCTAGAGCTATTCTTCGCTTCTAGTAATGCTCTGCTAAATTACGACAGGTTTAGTAATCAGCAGAATACTACAAAATAAGTCGGATTTCTTTTTTCAGATTAAAAAGGGCTATTCCATGCTAAAACAGAAGAGAAGTGAAAAACATATGAAGTTTGTTTTATAAGTTCAAACTATTGCAACAACCAAAGAAAGACAGTGATTCTCAGGTGAAAGATTTCCACTTCTCAGTTTCCTTCAGAGGCCAGAAGATGAAGGACATGCTTTCACTAGCAGCCAAGATTGGAGCGTTAGGAGTAAGTCCTGTTCACACCTCTGCCACAGACCTTGCACAGGGTATTCAGGTAGCTCCTCTACCTGGAGAGCAATTAGCTTCACAGTGAAGCACTCACGTTGAAGTACCACGTGAACAGCTGAATAAACCCAATGACTAGTCACTCTTGAAAGGAGAAGGTCCTACCCTAGTTCCTCTGTCCTTGCTGCAAGCCATGTGGTCCTGCCCCACCAGAAACATGACTGGGTGTGACACTCCTCTGACCACAAAGGAGCAAGTTCAACTCCCAGACCCAGCAGGAAACCATTTGCTTTCTAATTTTACTTTGTTTCATAACAGGTGACTAAGTTTAGTGGAGGTTCAGATCTGTGCTCTCATCAGTGCCAGGGTGGTGGGACATGGGAAGAGCTTCAACACAAGCTGTGACATGTAACTTCATCCTGGCATGATAAGGCTGGAAGTGGTGAGTCCTGGGTGCTAAATGCCTTGGAATACAGTTTGTTGACTTCGGTGTCTGTACAAGAGTCACAGCCTATTCCAGCCCTCTCTCTGTTGTCTAGAAAAGTCTGTTATGTGTCATGCAACACATCTGGCTATGTTCATCCGTTTAGAGGTGAACGGGCTCTTTTGGAGTTGAACTGTGGTCCAAAAAGTTAAGTGCACACTTCTGAAATCCTGCACATGCACACTGAAAAGGCTACTGTGCCCCTCAGAGCATCATAAGACCTCCTGAACCCTACTCAGCCTTTACAGCTGGTTTGCTCATCACTGACCAGTATTGATTCGTCTTGATTTGAACCTCTGCTTGTTGCAGAGAAAGTAATTTGGGTTTTCTTAGGTGCTGGGCTGTTCCCAGTTCCTCTGGACATCCTCAGCTCTGTATGGGAAAGCTGTTCGCTCCTTCTAATCATCCAAACTTGCTGGAGGTGGCTATGGACTGTGAAAAATTCTCCTTTCCCCATCCTCCCTGGAACACAGTCCAGATATAGATGATAGGATACACAGGTTCCCCTTTGGTAAACTGAACATGGTGGTGCAAGCTGCCTTTCCTTTTCTGTTATTTCACAATCTCTCTGACCTTCTCAACCTCTTATGCCCAAGGGCTACTCATCCTGCTGCCAGCCTCAAGTGAGACCAGGTACAGAGGGAAAGGCTTGCAGGGTCTGTGCCAGTTGCTTTCCTTTACATGCTCTGATGTCTGTCATAATGGTAGATCTGAGAGGAGCAGGAGCTGGCCTTTGAGACTAGAAGTAAGTTTGGTCTGGAGAAGTTCAGAGGAAGAAAACAGCAGTAGGAAAGAGGCCACTGCCAAACCTGTGTGGCTCTGACAGCACTGCTGAGCCTGGAGGAGCCGAATGGTGCTGAGAAGAGGACCTGCAGGTGGGACTTCTCTGCCCAGTGCCAACAGCAAGATTGGAGATTTTAGCAAGGACACTTGAGCTAGTCTTGGATATAACGCAACCCACCAGTGATGGATGAGCTGTGGATCTACATGGGAGGCTGCTGCACTCTGACCTCAGGATTAGCTGGCTACCAAACCATGAGCTGTGGTGTTTTCTGTTTTAAATCAGACATGTTTCTTTAATGGATGGTGTAGGAAGTCTCTTGTGTTGCCCCAGTGACTAACCAGGTCTCCCTGCTTTTGACTGGCCCAATGCGGGGGGAGCTGAGATGCTCACTGCTTCCTCATTCCTGAGAGTTCACTGCTTGGGCTCACCACTCCTTAAGCTGAGTTCAGTTATTTAAGCAGGACAGCCCAGGAGAACATATCATGCGAAGGACAGGGGCTGTGCTGAACAGTGTGGGACCTTTGGGCGCCTGGTGTTTTGCTTGTCTTCATAGGTGATGTGATCATGGCATCCCAAGGCCAGGTCATTTTCTGGAGGTATGGTGTTATCTGCATCTGCTTTGGGAGAAAGGAGGGAGGGAATTGCATTTTCCAGACTCATCAGCTTTATCACGCTGCTGCTGGGAGCTTTCATGACACCAGTTCTTTGCAGCTTGCCTCTATACTGCACTCAATGGTACAGCTTCTTTTATAGAATAGCTGTGTATAGTGTATATAGTGTAGCTGTCAGACACCCATGTGCAGGTCATTGACTGCAGCCAGGATGGAGATTCATGTCCTAGAAACACTGCATGGCCGGAATATGCCACCTCAGGTTTGAAGGCTGTTGTAGGTCAGGGTACCGATGGCTCTGTGCTCCTGCTGCTGTTGGTTGGGGTATCAATGGGTTGAGGGAGGCTCCATGTTCCTTCTGCTGGCCCTCAGGCAGTCGCTTACATCTCTGTCACATCGGCGTGCTGTGGGGAGAAAGGCAGAAGCTGTCCTACAGCAAGTTTCCTTGCTGTGTGGGCCAGGAGTAAGAGCTGGGAAGATGTGCAAGCTGGTTTGTGTCTCTTGTTTCAATGAGTCTCTTTCCTTTGGAGCTAATGACCAAGGCTTGGTGAACTACAGTCCGAAAAATAAGTATCGTGGGGAAGGCCATAAAAATATCTATCTCATATGCTTGTCTCCTGACTAGTTGCAAATAACCCCCACTAGTTGTGAAATTAGTTGGCAAACTTGCTTCAGCCTCCGATGAATGTGGACCAGGCTTGCATCTAAACCTGACTGCTTGATCCACCAACAATCTACGTCTCTTCATCCCAAGTGTGGGCTCTTCCAGGGTGGATAGAGGCAGAGGCTCCAGTGAGGTGTGTGAGATATCCCTGCTTGTGCTTATTCTGTCAAAAAGGTTTCAGCTGTTACGAGTATCTGTCCCACCTGAGGTGAACAGCAGTGGGGAGAAGGGCAGTCCACATGTGAACAGAAGAGATCTCCCATGCGTGAGCCGTGCGCCAGCTTTCTCACATGGAGCATCAATGACGTGCTAAACAGTAATATTGGTACTTTTTCACTGACAAAAGTGAGATCACTAGTAGACATAATGTAACACAGTTTAAATATCCACTGGGCATTGCGTTCCTCATGTGTCTGGAATGCATGTAATAACCAGCTCTGTCATTCTCAAGAGGTAGCCCAGCTGGCTTTTGTCAGGGAAATGCAATAACTGACTGGTGTGAAAAAATGTACTCCTACCCCTTGCTACTCTGAGAACCATCCTCCAGCTCTGCCAGCACCCCTGCCTGCCCCGGGCGGCTGTGCACAGCCAGACGGCAGCAGGTTACTGGAAGCCGCAGGCTTCTTCAAGGTTGTTGGCCTCTCCAGGCTAATTTTGAAATGCAGAAATAGCCCAGAAAGAGGGGTGAATTTTCCAGGAAGCTTCAGAGAAGCAGTGGGAGGTTTCTGTTGGTTTCAGGAAGAGACAAACCAAACCAAAACAACTCAAAACTTGTTTTTTTATCCTCGCACCTCTAAGCCCATTACCGAGGGAAAGCTTACTCCGCGCGGAGCTAGAGATCAGGAGGATTAAGCCTCTGCTGCCCATCACGGCAAGGCGGCAAGCCTCTCCCTGTCCCCAGCCTGCGCTCTCCAGAGCTGCAGGCAAAAGCCCATTTGGCTGATGAAGAACGGGACCACAGAAAAGAGAGTAGGATGCACAGAGCGGCATCCCTCAGGCTGCCAAAGCGCCACTGGGAACCGAGGGCAGCGTCAGGGCTCTGACTTGTGCAGCCCTGGCTATCTGCGTCAGGCTGTTGCCGTGCCTCCGAAACGCTGGAAGTACGAGGGGTGCTGATGCATGGAAAATTGCTTTTCGCTTGAACTGCTGGACTATTGCGACACACAGCTACCATCAGCACATGGCCGGGTTGCCAGCTTCCTCTTGTTTGCCCTGCACTCCGCATTGACTCAATAGACACAGGGGGCTCACAGGCAAATATTTTTAAAGCCCTTATGATTCTTGGACCTCACAGTTTCTGTGGAGGAAACTCCAAAGGGCCTGATTTCTCCTTGTCCCTGGCAAGGGGTGTTGAAGTGGGCAGTGGCATCCTTGTACCCAAAATTGCCATATCCCCTGTAACAAACAAGCGGCTTTTTCTATCAGCCCTGTTGCTGCCTTGAGCCAGGGGTGGGAAGCACCGCTCTGGATGCAAAGCTAGCAAGGCTTTGCAGCAATGGGGGAAGGTGGCGCCAGCGGTGCTGGCCCATTTGTACTTGTTTGTATTTGTGTGTGAGTGAGCTGAGGATGGTTTTGCCCAGCACAGTGCTAGGGCAGAGGTGGTGTTCAGGCCACATGGTCCTTTTAGGACCGAGGGCAAGTGTGGTGGCACCTGAAACTCTCAGGGACTGCACAGGAGGGCGCCTTGTCCCCTGACATACCCCCTCTGGCATTTATCAACGAAATCCTCCGTAACCTGCAGGCGGCATCTCTCTCGGTTCCTAGCAATTTCTCCCCTGCCCACTCTCAAGAAGAAGGATTTTAATTTAGAGGTGTGAGGGTGAGTCACAGCCACTGTGAGACAGCGTGGCTGATACTTGCTCCGGGCATATGTGCCATGGGTATAAGCCCGTGCTTCCCAGGCGTGAGAGCTGAGGCTGATCGTGGCAACGTTGGCTGAGTTTATAGCAACTATCTCGCTCTGGGATCAGCTCCGTAGAAATTGGTGCAGCTCCTCAAGGAGGTAGATATTATTCAGCGTATGCAAGAGGCTTGGTATCTGCTCTGGAATGGGAAAACACGGAGTTGTCCCATGGTGAGCCTTGCCAAGACCCCAAGTGACTTGGGGTTGAGCCCCATGGGACATGACAAATCTCCACCAGGAGGCGTCACGCTGCAGGATCCACATGAGCCAAAAAACAAAGTCCCCATCCCACAGGCCCCCAGGGGAGGGAGTGGTTGGTGATGGGTCCCCAGCTACCTGATGCACCACTTTCCTCCCTGACAGGTTCAGCTGTGACTGCAGCTGCAGGGCACTGGGAGGGGGCAGGCAGAGAACTACTGTCCACCCTGGTGTGCGTGAAAGCTGGTGAGAATGGGGAGGAAGCCAAACATGTGACACCTCCCAGCTCTGAACACACCAAGCAGGGAGGGCTTGGTACGGATGTGAACGTATATATGGACTCGTATGAACCTTTACACGGACTTATTGCATACTTGTGGTGAAATACAGTTTTGATCCCTTCTCCTGAACATGCTGGCATGTGCAGACAGGGCTTCCTCAGACAATTTTCCACTGGCTTTAAGGATCAGGATGGAAGGGAGATGGCAGGAGGGCAAGAAAGCCTTCTGCAACATCTGCCTCTCCATCCTCTCTTTCAACCCATCTTCCTTCCCTTTCTCCTTTCCCGGCTGCTCCCTGCAGGAGAGGCTTGTTCACATGGTGCGCTCCCCAGAGCTCCGTATCAGCCCTGTGACTGTGGCATCCGTGGTGACTGAGGTGTAATTGTGCAAGTAACTGAAGCAGGCGCACAGTGACGGTGGGAGGTGTTTGTGGTTGTACGGACACTGATGGGCTCTCGGGTGGGAGGCTAACCGATGTGTTAGGAAAGAGCGTGCTGCAAGCCGGCAAACGCTGCTGAAGCGGAGCAGCGATTTGTGTGTGGGCGGGAGGGCCGTGACATCTCGCAGCCTGGTCCTGCCTGGGGACAAAATGGGAAGCCGCAGCTCAGGAGTTTTTTTGTACAACGGGGCAAAACAAGCCCTGGGCTGGCAGGCCTGGGCGCTGGTGCGGAGTGGCCACTGTTGGTGCCCGTGCCTCCTGCAGCGCAACTACCTCCAGTGCCCTGCCGGGCTTGGGAATGGGGTAAAGTCCCCTGTGAGGACCTCCTGCAGCTCTCTGGGCTTCTCCTCCAATAATCCTGAGTAAGGCTGGGCCCAGCTTGACTGTCAGGCACAAGCACGTGAGCTGCTTGCCCCAGGATGTACCTGTGGGGTTCTGTGGGGAGCTGCTTCAGGGTTTGCTTTCGTGGGGAGCTGAGCTCCCTGCCACCCCCTTGTCCACATGAAAATGTGCCTAGGACCACGTGTGACAGTGCCACTGGCTGTGGCGGGAGCTTGCACCCAGCCATGTTTATGGGTCTGTCCAAGCCGGGGCTGTGCCAGAGACGGGTTACACTCAGCAAGGCTCAAGCTGTGCTGCTCCGTGCCATGCTGCCTGTTGCCTCCTCTGCTGGACCCACTCTACCTTTGTGACTTGGCAAGTGGTCCTCCTCCTCAGTCTCTCATTCATCAGCCCTTTAGACATCTGGGCATGGAGCATCCCAAATCTGACCAGCTCACAAAGCTGGTCCTGTTTCCAGTCCTCTCCTGCCTGCTCCCCAGTTCATACTGGATGTCTCCTGGGGTGAGTGGCCTGTCTCAGTGCTCTGCTCACACCCCTGGGCAACTGGTCCCTCACAAGTGCCAGCAGAGACTGCCTGGCTCGCTTATACACTGGGAGATGCGGAGAGGAGCATCCTCCACTGGGACCCGCTGCCTCCTCCCAAAGGCAAAGCTTGGGTCTCCTCTCCTCCCACCCCATCGTCTCCTGCCTTTGATGACAAGTGGTCATCCGAATGTACATCTCTACTGTGGTCATGTGCTCCACTGGTTCACCTTGCTTTAGGTCTGTGGCTTACTGACCTTGACCTCCTTCCTGCCGGTGGCTCTGCAGACATGCACTGTAGGTGTAGGGTGTGAAAGGAGCTGAGCTGCATGATAATTTTGTCCTTTCTTTTCTCCCCTGATAGCATGACTACAATCATTATCATCCTGGCTGTGGTGATTGCCCTGATAATTGGATTTGGTGTCTCAGGTATGTGAGTGATCAGATTTCTTGCTGTTACTAGCAGGGCTGCCCTGCCACTACCTCCGTATCTCCATCCTGTGCATGGGCTGAGGTGTGATCTTGTGTGGAAGTGCCACCTACAACCCTTCAACAAATGTTCGCTTTATAAAGCTTATGTACCAGATGGCTGAATTAAGACTGCACAGGTGACTTCAGTTCTCATCTTTCTTCACAAGGTATCGCTCCATGGCATTAAGCCACAAGGAGCTGTGCTCTCCTTGGAGACTGTGAGCTCTTGTAGGTTTTAAATAACACAGAGATTTACACACACACAAGTGCTCAAGGTGGGTTTGAAGACACCAGCACTTGGCACCTGGAGCTGAGTGAGGAAATCTGTGTTGGCTCTTAATTTCTGCAAAAACTTGTCAGCACGCCAGCCCCGGGCTGCAGCAGTGGCTGTGCATGCATGAGCCTTGGTGCTATGGGATAGCTCTGTTTTGCCCTGGGAAGTGAGTTCCTGGCCTATGATTTCACAGCAGAAATTAAGGTTTTTTGTTTGTTTGTTATTTAGTTATCTGCCATGTTAGCAACTGAAAAGTTCAACTCCATCTGTTGCTCCATGGAAAGCCAGCTGAGGCAAGTGATGGATAAGCGTAGTGCAGCTTGTGCTGCTGGAGGTGTAGTGCTGTGTTAGTTGAAATTTCCTTGGGCTTGGAGCCTTAAACTTACACATACAGAAAGTCCTGCACATACTGTGCTCCTTCTCCCAAATGGGAAGAGGTGATGGTATTTATTGTGAAATTGGGCAGCATCTGCCAGGATGGGGCACATTCCCCTGCTCCCTCAGAGACAATAAAAATGTGTTGCTTTGGTGTTGGCTGAAATGCAGCCTCCTCAGGGTGTGCTGACTAAGGACAAATTAGGGAAGGGCTGCATGGGAAAGAAGACCCAGCTCTGGGAAGAAGCTAATTCTCAAGCTCACTGATTAGGATTCAACTTGAGAAGCAATCTGTGTCCCCAGGGAAGGGAAATGCTGACTTTTCTTAAATGAAAGTAAACGGTTTGGATTCCAGTAAGGGTGAAAGAGCAGCCTCTTATTTCTCTGCCAGCATTACGCCTTGCAATAGCATTTATATTGCATAAGGGAGGTCCTGACTAAGCAAAGACACAAAAATCACACTCTTCTGGGAGCTGCAAAGAGAAAAATCTCTGATACGTATAAGCAAGCAAGAAAACACCATGCAAATTCTTCTCAAACAAGTAAGAGGAGCTACATTTTGAAGCACACAGCCTGCTAAAAAATTGCTCCTGTGCTTTATCTTGGTATATAAACCATGGGAGCTGACCTCTCCTAGCAGCATTGGCAGCTGCTACTGCTGCCCTTACGATGTGCCAGTGCCCATTCAGCCTCGGGGTTGGTGCATGACAGCCACAGGGTGGTCTGGCCTTTTTCCACGCTCGCTGCCTTTCTCACACCATCGTGCTTTCTCCTTGCAGGAAAACGCTCCATCAGTGTGACGGCACTGACGTCTCCAGGGAACATTGGCCAGCGCGGCATCCTGGGCTGCACTTTTGAGCCCGACATCCGTATGGGCAGCATAGCCATCCGGTGGGCCAAGGCAGGAGTAGCCGGGCTGGTTCACGAGTTTAAAGGTGGGAAGGACCACCTGCAAGAGCAAGACGCCTCATTCCAGGGCCGCACGGCAGTATTCGCAGACCAGGTGATCGGTGGCAATGCTTCCCTGGAGCTGAGGGACGTGCAGCTCTCTGATGCCGGCACCTACCAGTGCTCTGTCACTACGGCCAGAGGGAGTGGGGCAGCAGTGCTGCGGTACAGGACAGGAGGTGAGGGGTACGAGGAAGAAAATCCTGCTGCAAAATGCATGCTAACGTGGCTCGGTTGGACCTACTTGTGGTTATGCTGATGCTAGAGGCTGTGTGAGCAGCACCCGCTCCTCCAGCAGCCACCACCAGGCCCTGCACCCCTGAGTAGAGCGGGGGTATTTTTGGGGGCTTTTACAGAGGTGTTTATGGCCTTACCCACTCTTTTGACATCCTTGTTCCAGAAAAATTATTATTTTAATGCTCCCAGCTTTCTTTTTCTTCTATTTACCACATGTAGTCTACCAGCTACATAACTGACTACAAAGAGCCCCTAAGAACGGGAGTGGCTAACTGATCTTATAGAGATCCAGATTTTATACCTGTTTAAGATAAAATGATAGCTTTTCCTCTCTAGAGTAAAATATATCTCCAGCCAGGAAAAGTGCTGCATAGTAAAAATTGTAGCCTATTTCATATCTTTTTTCTGTTTTTCTAATGAATTCAGTTTTTTAAAAATGACTATTAAAACAACAAACTGCCCATATCATAGTTATCGGAACTACTACATATTTGCTACAGTTAACTGTTCACCTTGCTATGAGTCAACCTCAAAACATGCACAGACACGTACAAATTTTCAGTTGTGGGTGCTTAATTCTTGGGAACCCTCCGGGCTTTCGCCATCATTTTCACTGCTGGCACAAAGCAATATGCTCCTACTGAACTTGGCAGCTCTTCACTTATTGACCTCTGGGTCTTTCTAATGAAATTGTGGTGTGTTACACTGACTATACAATGGGGATAACATGAGCCTGCACAGGTAAGTGGCCTTAGTGTTCCTCTGGCTGGCTTCCCTGAGGTCCCAGCATATCCCTTGAACTCGGGGTTGGCACAGTAGAGTGAGTCCATGACCATGCAGGGAAAGTTTCTAAGGTAGAATTTTAAGGGAATTGTTAGAAGGGAGGAAAAAAAATCTTCATGGCTTTCCAAACGTTGGAGAGTCAATCCTCCAGAAGAGATCTGGAAACCACCAAGTCTTCATGTTCTTCCAGTGAGATGACTGGCTGCAGTAACAAGTCACCTCCCAAACCTCGTGTTGCAGACTGATGGCTGAACCACTTCAGGGTCTCCTGGCGGACTGCAGTCTTTGTACCCTCTCCCTCACCACTGTGACTGGTGTTGCTGCTCAAGAGCTCAAACTGGGAGAGGAAAAAACTGTCAGACCTCTCCAAGTCAACGAAATGCAGTTTTAGGTCAGGTGACCGCTTATGTGGTGACGCCAGATGTACCAGCCCCAGTACCAGGGGGGTGAGTGTGTCATTTGTGCTTCAGGCCAGTCATAGCAGGACAGTAGTAACTGGCAGAGCTCTTAAATGAGACAGGCTGCTCTTCTGCAGGTTTAGTCTCCTCCTTTGGCCCAGTGGAGCCAAAGGACCAGGAGGCAGGCACCAGCTTCTGCGCAGAAGCTTGTGACAGATGTCTTGGAGATGCAGCCACTTCCCAGTGTCACTCATGGGGAGTGCGTCTTGGGACAGAAAGGCAACATTAGAGTTGATGTTACAGGAACATCTGCCCAGTGTCATTTCACAGTCTCCCATTGCATACTGAAAGTGTGTTTTCTGCCTGGTTGTTATGTGAAGCACCTCCCCAAGCAGGGGAAAAAGGGTGCCGGGCTCACAGGCCCCTTATCTTGCAATGGCAAGGATGGAAGAACTGCTTGGGGCTGCAGTAGGCAACAGCAAGGCCAGAGGGCTTTGGCTTACGTCTGATGTGTGCTTAAGTCCCACGGGGATTCGGTCTCCTGTCCCTCCCTGAAACCTTGTGAATCTGCCTGCTTTTGTGTTGCTTGATTCGATGTTTAAGTAATCCACACAGGAAAATCATTAGAGAGAGCAGGTGAAATGCTGCATTAGGGTTTATTTCCATTGAGATTAGTGAACTCTGCTCTCCTAAAAAGTAAATATACAGAGGTATGTTTTTCTAGGAAAGCAAGACTAACAAAGTTTTATTTGAGACAGCCGTGGCTTTGAAACACAGCTGAGTTTGCAACGGTCTTTAAACATTTCATTTAATCCAGGCATGTTGGCATAAATCCTGCAGCTCAGGCCACACCTTAGCCTGCCCTCCACCCCAGCAGGTGCAAATGCAGCTTCCCTTGGCTGCAGCCCCATTCAGTGTGAGAGTCACATCACAAAGCGGTAGGTGTTGGTCAGGCTCCCTTCTCAGTCAGTAGAGAAGGTGAGTCATCTTCTCCCCCTCTCTGATAACAGCAATCATTTTTGGTGGGCCTCTCCCCGTGGAGAATAGCAGGTGCCTCCTTTCAGCAGAGGTGAGCGGAGCCGTGATGGCTGCCGTTCCTGCCCAGGGAAGCTGGGATTTGGCAGACATGGGCAGTCTCAGGCTGGCCAGGTCCTGAGCCCTGTCTTCTCTGGGAGCTCGGGTGTCCAGGTGCTCCCAGGAAATGCTTCATTTACGAGCCTGGGACCCAGCTCGTAACTGTTAAGCAGATTTACTTAAAGATGCTAAAGCTGTGCCATGACCTCAGCAGATCTTGTCAAACTGGACTGCCTTGTCCTAGCCTAGGAGTCTTTAGATACTCCGTAGTCATCCCCCTGTAGCCCAACCTGTACAGATCTCTGTCTGAGCCTCTGTGTTTGGTTTGGCTACAGGCGGTGCTGCAATGCTAAGCAGCAAGTACCCTAGAAACACCTGGGACTGACCAGCGGATGCAGTTGGGTGTTTCATGCCCAGTTCCTAGACATTTGTCTTTTTCTGACTCTCTCCCCCTTGTCCTTCCCGAAGCTTTCAGCACCCCCAAGGTCCACGTGGAGAACAGCAGCAGCGGCGACACATTGCAGTGCGAGGCACCTCGCTGGTTCCCACCACCCGCTGTGCGCTGGACAGCCTACAGTGATGCCGGGGAGTACCTACCTCATGTTGCCAACACCAGCTACGAGCTGAACGCTGAAAACATCACCGTGAAAGTGGTTTCCTTTCTGCACAACATTACCACTAACGCCACCTACACCTGCGTGATTGAAAACAACATTGCCAAGGCTACAGGCAACATCAAAGTGACAGGTAGAGTTTAACATCACCCAGAGACCACAGGCGCAGGGGAGAAGAGGGTTTAAACAGTGTGCCTGCGTGTGTCAGGGGGCTCCAGCAGCACCCGTGTCAGTCAAGGAAAGGACTGAAATTTGTGGTTAATCCAAGCCTCTCTCTGTCCCCGGGATGAAGGAAAGGGTCTGTGTTTGGTCCTGCTATTTCAGGTGTTTTACATGGTAACAGTTGATCCCTTGGCCCAGGGACAGAACTGCCAGGGAATGGGAAGGGAGGACACGCTTCAAAAGAATATATTCCTTTGAATGTTAACCAAAATCAAACCAACCAACACCCCCAACTTCTGACACTTTCTTTAACTGGTTCAGCTTAGATCCCTTTTGTGTACCAAACCAGCAGGCCCCTTTAGCTGTTGCTAAAGACAATCCCTCTGACTCCAGCCCACCCCCTTAATTTAAAAAGCCACCTTACTCAGAGGAAAGCAAACTTTCCAGAAAGCCTGGATATCTTTTCCTGTTCTACATGAGAAGGGTCATAGCTCTTCTACAGCGAGTGCTTCGTAGCAGTGTGTCTCCAGCTCAAGATGGCGGGGTCTATCTTTACCAATATTCAGAAAAATGGGAAGGAATAAATATACACACTCGTTTTGCCTTCCCTGCTGGGTTCCCCATTCTGGTAGCCTCTCACTATTCTCCTGCCACAGACTTCAGCATTACAAGGGGGACCAACCTGCAGCTGGTGAACCTGAATGCGGAGTCAGTGTCCTCCTCCCTTCCAGCCTGTCACTGGATGCTTCTGCTTCCCCTGTATCTGCTGTTGATATAAAGCCTCTATAAAACAATCAGAAACACTGCTGGACTTGGAGGTAAGCTTGGAAGGGGAAACTCATAAGCACGTATGCTTGGTATATGTAGACCCTCTTGCTGAGTTTTTGTACAGCAGCAGACTTATCTCAAGCCTGCCAGAATGGAAGGACACGTCTTTGCCCTGCACTGGTCCTTTCTCCATCCCCAGCTTTAGGTGGGATGCATGGCTTGTCCCTCCTACGGGCTCCCTCCTGGCTTCTCCCATCACTTTCTGCAGCTTCAGAGAGTCTTCTTTTACACTGTTGACTGTCATCTCTTACTCATCCTCTCGTTCTCTTTTCCTTCCCTCCTCAACCTTCTCTCTGACCCAAAAGAGAGATGTCTTGCTTGCTGCTCTGCATACCCTCTGAACCTTGGCTACAGTTCGTGGCTGCGAGGCAGTGTGGACTTTTTCCTCTCTCTCCCTGAGGCCTGCTGCAGCACAGGCCTCGCTTGCACCTGCTTTACTCAGACAACTCTACTACACAGTGCAGCACCTTCAGTAAATAATACCTAGTAGGAATACCTTGAACAGGGCTAGAGGGAGCTGCCAGCCTGAGCAATCCCACCTAGACCTGGAATAATCATAGAATAGTTTGGGTTGGAAGAGACCTTGAAGATCATCAAGTTCCACCCCCCCTGCAACCTCCCACTAGACCAGGTTGCTCAAAGCCCCATCCAGCCTGGCCTTCAACACCTCCAGGGATGGGGCATCCACAACTTCTCTGGGCAACCTGTGCCAGTGCCTCATCACCCTCATAGTGGAAAATTTCTTTCTAATATCTAATCTAAATCTACCTTCTTCCAGTTTGAAGCCATTCCCCCTTGTCCTGTCACTACGTGCCCTTGCGAAAAGTCCTTCCCCAGCTCTCCTGTAGGCCCCCTTTAGGTACTGGAAAGCTGCAATAAGGTCTCCCTGGAGCCTTCTCTTCTCCAGGCTGAACAACCCCAGCTCTCTAAGGCCTGTCCTCATAGGAGAGGTGCTCCAGCCTAGAATAGGGAGGACTGTAGCCAGCCAAAGCACAGGACAACTGCCTTTAGTATTCATCAGCTTTGGCTTTGGATGGCAGTCTCTAGAGGTAAGCTGGTGATGAAGTGGAGAGCTACAGAAAATCAGCTAAAAGGAACATCTCTGTCTTTTAACACAGAACAGTTACACAGCTACCCTGACGGCAGGACACACTTCATGCGTTCCTCCCTCTTGGGCTGAGAACTTTTAAGAGCTCCTTCCAGTTCCAGTGCATGTAGTAGTGCAAACATGAAGCCAGCCGATTTCTCTCTTGTGTTATTTCTTACCCATGCCAACAACAGGATCCTTTGTTTGGCTTCAGAAAGAGAGTGAGGAATGCGATAAGGAAAGTTGCATAAATAAAGGAAAAACTCTGATCACAGGAACGAGGTGTGTTCTCTTGTCTGAAGTAACCCAGGGACCAGAACTCTGTTCACGGGCAGAAGCTCAGAGACAAACAGGAAAAGGGTTTCCTGCAATACATCTGAGAACTGGTCCTTCAAACTCAAGAGTACTAAAACCAAGCAAATCTTAATTCCCCCTTAACAGATTTGATTTGTCTGTCTCATGTCTTGTGGTTCTCTGAATGTATTAATAAAACTGTACGTAAGAGAGCCAGTTAATCTATTCAGTCTTCTCAGAAGACTATAATCAAACTCTCCTTCTGAAAAAAGATGCTGTGAATGGCAAAACAGCGATGGGTCAGAAAATAGCTAACAGGTTTGGAATAAGTGTTAGGTCTTTAACCTGGCAAAGGCAAACAGTGTGGCTGAAGTCCTCTATGAGCACCGATGACTGTACTTGCGATGTGAAATACAAGAGGAACAGGCGAGTAATAAGTGAGGCCACAGACAGAAGACTTAACATATGTAATGAGGAGGAAAAGAGGGTGACCAGTAAGATACTACTGGAAAGTTCAAATTCAGAAGCAGAGTTATTAAACATAGATACAACTCTAGAGACAAATTTGCCTTTTTTGTTTTTAAGTCTGTTATCTGGCACTTCCTATCTATTTCTGTGGCACTGTCTGTTACTATGTTATTCATATTACAGGACTACTTTCAGTTGCACTTTTTAATCAGATTTTGATCTCTTCATCTTACATCACTTACAGTCAACATTTTCCTCAGGCTGAGATAGTTTACTTTTGGTTTGGGGTTGGTTTTTTTTTGTTTGTTTTGTTTTCTTTGGGGAAGGTGGGGAGTAAGTTTTAGCAAAATCTCTACCATTTTCCAGAAAGCACCTACAGAACAAAAGACTGTCACAGCAAGCCTTGTGCAGACCTTTGCTTTAAGCTGTTTTGGCAATCTCTTTTAGGATGGAGTCTTAGAACTTTGTTGAACGGTGGCATCTATCAGGTCTTGTGCCACTCATCTTTTGGTCTTAGAAGCGGCCAGCAGGCCTCGAGAGGGAAGATAGTTTACACATAAACCCACCCCCTAAAGATTAATATAAAGCTCAAACTAAGGGGGAAGGGCAGGGGGGGAAGCACTGAACAAACCAAAAGAGAGCAGCTGTTCAGACATGCTGTCAGCACTACACACAGAATAAGGTGGGAAAGTAATTCTTTGTGGAATTTACTAACCTATAGCACAAGAAGGATCTGGATGCTCTTTTGCCCAAAGCAAGTGCAGAACACTTGGTCATCACTGCAAGCAGACGTGAGAGCAATCTTTTCAAATGGTGATCTCCCATGCATTGTACTGGTTAACCTGCTGTGCCACCACAGATACTGGCACGTGCCATTGCAGTCATCCCCTTCCTAATCAGGAACAGATGGGCAAGCCTGTACCATGTTGTCAATTTGTATCACAGCTCACTGCCTTCCTCTTGTTACCAGCCCCACATAAGGTTCAGGCCACTGTTTAGGCTGCAAAACAATGGCCGTATAGTCCTGTGATTTAGTACCATGATTTAGTATCCAAACAGTAACTTATTCACTTCCCTTCTCTTCTTGGAGGAAGGAAATGCTTTAAACACATCATTTTAATAATCTCAGTTGGGTTAAGAAGACTATCCCTTGTGCCAACTGTACAGTTTTGCACGAAGACAGTGACTGATCTGCAAAATGCCTGGATCGGGCTCATAAACCACGCATCTAAGTTCTGCCTCATTCCCCATATAGCAAGTAAAACCTGAACTAGATATGGTGTTATTTAAACTATATTTTAATAGCTTTATTTAGTAGATACTACCACATAAAATACACACATTGTGTGCCCTAGGCCCAAAGTATTGAACATCCCTCTTCCAAAACATTGCCCAGTATTGCTAGTGGCAATAGTCCAGAATGACCGTTCAGGAATTCCACGTCATAGCAGCTTCTTGACTGCAGCCTTCACCCTGTGCTCACAGGCCCCTGCTCCTACTGGAAAGGAGATTAAAAAAACCCCTCCCAATCCCAGTAGGTATTTCCATAGTTGTTCTCCCACTGGGAGAGATGTTAAGCAGTGGCTTCCACTCGGCAGCAACTAGATGTCCTCCTAATCCTCTCGCTGTTCAGATAGCTTAAGGTGCCTTGTTCCACTTCCTCCACGTTCAGGCACAGCAGGTTCAGCCGAAGTCCCACTTGTGACACAAACTCCACTTCACCACACCGAAAATTTCTCAGCTGCAGTGGAACTGCAGGGGAAAGATACAACCTGTAACAACTCCATACAGGGCTCCTGCTCTGTTCTATCACACAGCTGTAGAAGTTGCTGGGGGAGGGAAGGCCGTGCAGCAGCTGCTTGGCATCCGTTAAACCTCAAAGGACAGCATAATTAATGAATCCAGGATGTAGGCAGATGAACGCATTTGGCCAGCACCCCTCCAACTGGGAGGAAACAGACATTTTACCCTGTGAAACACTGGGAACTATGTGCTGTTCATATAGCTGCTGCATTGAGCTTTCTATCTTTTATCACTATCAGCAACCTGGCCTTAGAGACAGTGTCACATGATAGGCAGAAGACAATGCCTCCACAGCAGGGCATCCTCAGGTGAGCTTAGCAAATCAACCCCTGCAGCACCTGGACTCATACTCAGGCGCTAGTGTTGGCGCAAGCGGCTAAGAACAATGTCCCCTTCATGCAGCAACTGCACAGTTACAGTTTCAGTTTCAGAAAACTTAATATATACTATTCTTGTATATAGTGACTTTTATAATATTACCTAAGTATTTTTGTAACCCTGGTTCCGCTAAGACACATCTTAGCTCTACACTACTGAATTCACAATTCCATGGAAACCCTCCAAAGATCTTACTTTGTGGGCAGTGAAGGCTCTCCTTCGCCTGCCT